TGACCCCTGTTCTTTAGCTGTTCCCTTCGTCTGGCAACTCTGCGCATGCACACATCGGGAACAGGCTCCAGCTGTTCTTCTGCTCCACTAATATCCGACTCCGAAGGCAGCTGATAACTGGCAGACGGCTCTGGCCCCCACTCTGCCTCCGACACAGAGCTCTCATCAGAGCCTTCCCCAGACTCCAGGACTGGCCCAGGTTCCTCCCCAACCTCCTCACTGTCCGAATATGCTGCCAGCTCTGCTGGCCGCTGGTGGGCCGCAACAGGAGGCAAACTAACCCTTGAAACTATTCCAATGAACGAACAAAACCCACCCCCAGCCCAAACCAGACTCGGGAAGTCGCCATGCGGTTGTTGGAAATGTGCAACTCTGCTCACCCTGTTGCTTTCGGCCGCCACCCGCTGAGCCGCCTCTCGTGCCATGGCCTTGGCGACTGTGTTAGGCACAGGGGTGCCCTGCGGCTGCGGAAGGATCCGGTTGGGAGATGGCGAGCGCTGTCCGTGAAGTGGGCTGTGGAAGTTGGGCGGTTCCAGAGTGTGCCCGCGGACAGGGGAGGCCGCACGGGTCTGTTCCCAGGAGTCGTCCCTTTTTCCGTGGGGACACAAATGTTCTTCTTTGGTATCTGGGATACTGGCACTTGTTAATGGCTTAGATTTGGGAGCTGGCGGAGGGTGAGGAGGCACCAGTAAGTCAGGTGGGACGGGAGCGCTCAACGAGTCCACGGAGTCCCCTTGGGCAGAGATGGTCCGGACGAGGACTTCTCTGGCATCCAGGCTCTGGATTTTGGTTAGCGCCACAATGCTGTTGTCTGCAGTTGGAAACATCGCTTCTGCCACCTGAATGCAGGAAGAGATGCAAATACGTTAGGAACAATAAAGGGGATTATTCGTAGCTCAGGATCATTTTTGCTGACATTTCATGACCAAACTAGGCAACATCATCAGTGCTAGAAGGGAATGGGGTTTAAGGAGGAGGAGGAGGACTAGGGGTCCTTGGTGCTCTCTGAGCTTGGTGATTTTCTTGCAGACGTTTGATGACCCAACTCAGTAACATCATCAGTGGTAGAAGGGAAAGGGGTTGAGGGAGGAGAGGGGGAGGAGGACTGTGGGCTCCTTGGTGCTCTCTAAACTTGGTGGTTTTCTTGCAGACGTTTGATGACCCAGCGAGGTAACATCATCAGTGCTAGAAGGGAGTGAGGTGTGCAAAGAGAAAGAAATTGGAAATAAAGGAAGAAGACAACAAGAATAGAAGATACATTAAAAGAGAGATAAGAATAAAACAGCAACTGATAACATGAGTATGACGAGAATAATTATGTTTAATGCTATTATTGTATTTTTATTTTAGAAAATGTGTTATGAAGGAAATGAAGACTTACACATGATATAATTGTTCAATGTATATAATTTGTGGAAGGATGTTGCACAGAAATATTTGTACCCAGAAGACACACTGCTTAAGGAGAGGTGAAATGTTTATAATTTTTAAAATGGAAAATAAATAAAAAACTTTAAAAAAGAAAAGAAACATGGCTTCGGCCACCTGAATACAGGGACAGATGCAAATTCGTTAGGAACGGTAAAGGAGAATATTTGTAGCTCAGGGTCGAAATGAGTGGTCCTTGGTGCTCTCTGAGCTTAGTGGTTTTCTTGCAGACGTTTTATTACCCAACTGGGTAATATCATCAGTGCTAGAAGGGAGAAGGAGGAGAGAGAGGAGGAGGAGAAGGAGAATGACTGGGGAGAGTATCTTTGGTGCTCTCTGAGATTGGTGGTTTTCTTCCAGATGTTTCATTACCCAACTAGGTAACATCATCAGTGCTAGAAGAGAGGAGGAGGAGGAGGAGAATGACTGTGGGGTCTTTGGTGCTGTCTGAGTTTGGTTGTTTTCTTGCAGACGTTTCATTACCCAACTATGTGACATCATCAGTGCCCTGGGCAATGAAACGTCTGCAAGGAAAGAACCAACCTCAGAGAGACCAAGGCCCCCTCACATTAGGAACATGAATGAGAGCCACACTTGATACTGCCAGCTGAATAAGAGTCAGCAGGGTGATATAACTAATACCAGGCAAAATAAATGTGCAATCTTAGGTCACATCATAGAAATGCAATTTCTTAAGCATGATTCCACCCTCTTTGGCCAAGATCTGATCCCATTTCAAGCTCTGGATCCAATTCTGGGCATCCGGTATTGACAAGTCCTGCCCAACAAGCCAGGATTAAGTGAATTAGAATTATGCAGAATTGAGGAAGGGCATTTTATTGCACCATAAAATAAAATTGGCACATCTAAACAAACAAACAAAAAAGCAAGATATTTTAATGCAGTCAAAGAAACCCTAGGAAATCCCTAGTGTAAATTTGCCAGTTTGTAGCTTAATTAATTGATCGATTAAGTAAAGAATTGCTTTTCAATTAAGTAAGCAAAAGGTTCCCAAAAAAATATGTCCGATTGTGCCAGAAATGGATAATAAATTCCATTTTCTAGGCTGCATCAGAATAAATGTCTCTCTTTTTTATTTATTTTTTAATTGATTGATTGATTGAATGAATGAATTGAATTGAATTGAATTTATTTAGCTTGTATGCCGCCCTACTCCCGGAAGACTCAGGGCGGCTAACAATAAGAAGGGAAGGGGGGTACAAAAATAAAACAACAATTAAAAATTTAGCAACAGTCATAACATAGGATGGGGCTGGATAATTCAACAGCCCCAGGCCTGCCGGAACAGCCAGGTCTTGGTCGCTTTGCGGAAGACCTGAAGAGTAGTAAGGGTTCGGATCTCAACGGGGAGATC